TTTTTTTTTTTTCTTAACATATATTGCATTATTTATTTCAGAGGTACAGATCTGTGATTCAACAGTCTTGCACACTTCACGGCGCTCACAATAGCACATACCCTCCCCAATGTCTATCACCCAGCCACCCCATCCCTCCCACCCCCCGCCACTCCAGCAACCCTCCGTTTGTTTCCTGAGATTAAGAATTCCTCATATCAGTGAGGTCATATGATACATGTCTTTCTCTGATTGACTTATTTCACTCAGCATAACACCCTCCAGTTCCATCCACGTCGTTGCAAATGGCAAGATCTCATTCCTTTTGATGGCTGCATAATATTCCATTGTATATATATTCCACGTCTTCTTTATCCATTCATCTGTCGATGGACATCTTGGCTCTTTCCACAGTTTGGCTATTGTGGACATTGCTGCTATAAACATCGGGGTGCATGTACCCCTTTGGATCCCTACATTTGTATCTTTGGGGTAAATACCCAGCAGTGCAATTGCTGGATCGTATGGTAGCTCTATTTTCAACTTTTTGAGGAACCTCCATACTGTTTTCCATAGTGGTAACAGCAATATCATTTTAATGGTTGTATAATATTTCTTCTGGTAAATTTGCTGTAATAATACCCATCATTTATTATGCACATATATGCCGGGCACTAAATCTTAAGTGCTTTACCTGCATTACCTCATATAATCAGTGTAACTTTTACAATAGTCCTATAAAGTAAAGGATGTTGTCTCCATTTTATATAGCCATTTCCCTACTGGACTTAGATGATTTCTGTTTCCAATTTTTCTACTGTTATAAACAATACTGTGATAAACAGCTTTGTAGTTAACACATCCATGATTATTCACTTAGGATAAATTCCTGGAAATGGGATTATTAGGGCAAAGAGATGTGCACATTTTTTTTTAAGATTTTATTTATTTATTCATGAGAGACAGAGAGAGAGAGAGAGAGAGAGAGAGGGAGGCAGAGGGAGAAGCAGGATCCCCTCTGAGCAGGGAGCCCGATGCGGGACCTGAGCTGAAGGCAGACGCTTAACCATCTGAGCCACCCAGGCACCCCAAGATGTGCACATTTTTAAGACTTGGTGGTATGTATTGCAAAATAGCCACTCTTTTTTTTTTTTTAAATATTTTATTTATTTATTTGAGAGAGAGAGAATGAGAGATGGAGAGCACGAGAGGGAAGAGGGTCAGAGGGAGAAGCAGACTCCCTGCCTAGCAGGGAGCCCGATGCGGGACTCGATCCCGGGACTCCAGGATCATGACCTGAGCCGAAGGCAGTTGCTTAACCAACTGAGCCACCCAGGCGCCCCGTAAAATAGCCACTCTTAACTAGCTGTGCATGAAAATACCCATCTCCCCAACCCTTTCCAATGCTAAATAAAACCCTTGCTGATTTGACAGGTGGAAAATGGTTTCTTATTGTATTAATTTGCATTTAATTCATTGCTAAGTGAGATTGGACATTTTTTCATGTGCTTATTGAGTGTCAGTATATTTTCCTTCCTGAACTGCTTGTGTCTTTTTTGTATTCATCTTGCCATTGCAGTGTTTGACTTTTTTTTTATTGTTTCTAATACATCTTTATATATATTTACATATCCTGGACCTCGTTTCACGCCAATATTAAAGTACTTCCCGGGGTGCCTGGGTGGCTTAGTCGTTAAGCGTCTGCCTTCGGCTCAGATCATGATCCCAGGGTCCTGGGATCGAGCCCCGCATCGGGCTCCCTGCTCAGCGGGAAGCCTGCTTCTCCCTCTCCCACTCCCCCTGCTGTGTTCCCTCTCTTGCTGTCTCTCTCTCTGTCAAATAAATAAAATCTTAAAAAAAAAAAAAAAGTACTTTCCCCTGGTTTGTCATCTGCCTTTTAATATTGCTCGTAATAGGGCGCTTGGGTGGCTCAGTTGGTTAAGCGACTGCCTTCGGCTCAGGTCATGATCCTGGAGTCCCGGGATCGAGTCCCACATCGGGCTCCCTGCTCGGCGGGGAGTCTGCTTCTCCCTCTGACCCTCCCCCCTCTCATGTGCTCTCTATCTCTCATTCTCTCTCTCTCAAATAAATAAAATCTTTAAAAAAAAAATATTGCTCGTAATACTCAAAATTGGGAAAGTGGCCAGCTGGTGGGGTTGGACACGCCTGGCTCTGCATTCTCTACAGCCTCCGCGGGTCTCTGGTTCCTTGGTGTTAAATAAGGATGACAGGAGCACCTGGGAGAGTACAAGGAGCAGGGTTAGCATTGAAGAAAAGAGAGAGCTCTTTTGAGGCTGGAAGTAACCACATTTAGGGTATGTTTTGTTGGGGATTACGGCCATTGCAGGAACTGCCGTTGATAGGGGCTGTTTCTTTGCAGTTAAAGAGAAGTGAGGCAGACCCTGTCCAGGGAGGCTGCCCAGCCCTGAGGCAGGGTTTCTTAGGACGGTGTGGATGTGGGGTGAGTTCAGCATAGAATGATTGCTGATTCTCCTTGTACCAGGTACAGCGCTAAGTGCCTGGCAACACAAGGATGAATTCAGACCTGGTTTTTGTCCTCAAGGAGCTTACACTTCAGGGACAGGGATGGTGGTGGTAATAATAATCATCATAATCATAGAAGTACTACAATGTACTGAGTGTCTACTATGTGCCAGATACTGTTCTAAGTGCTTTCCTTGTATTTTCAACTTCTCACAATCGCCTGTTATTATGATCTTCATTTATCAGATGAGGAAACTCAGGCTCAGAGATCAAATAACTTGTCCAAGGCAGCCTGACTCCAGAACCACATATTTTAATGATTCTGATACAATTTAATGTAGCAAGTCATAAAATGGAGGGATATACAGGACATCATGAGGGCAGAAAGCACCATTCCAGAGTCTGGTTCTCAGCGTCGAGAATGAGGCAGTGTACTCGAGCAGATCAGGATCAGAGGGATTGTGGTAAATCGTCTTAATGACATATTGCTGATTTATTAATTTACAGTGAAAAAGCTGAGTGGCAGATGGTTCAGAACTCTTATTTCTTTGGTCAGCATGTTCTTTGCCTAAGTAAAAATATATATTAGAAGCTAAATTATCATCAGAAGCTTGGTAGGGACTGGGCGTCACAGGAGGGGAAGATACTTGAGTGATCTTAATGGTGAGTACCATACATCCTCAAATCCAAGAAGCCATCCCTTGTAAGACAAACTTAATTTGTACACTACTGAGAAAAGGCTGCAAATAAAAATGGCATGCCATCAAGTGTAAGGTATATGTCCGTCTCAGAGATGTCAGTATGCCAGGGAATGCGTGTCTCAGAATTAACAAATATTGATTTTTAAACATTAACTAAGAACCTACTAAATTGGGCTATTGTAGTGAACCGGACTGAAACAACCCTAGGTTCACAGGGCTCACAGTCAGGCTGGGTAGGCACGAAAGGTTCGCTGAAGAGCAAGTACATGGAACTAAATGAAGTTGGCTGGGGTTTGGTGGATGGGGGCGGCTGGGCAGGAATTCTGATGAGACGTGATACCAGAGAGCAATACGCAGGTGCCAGGTCACCAAAAAACCCCATAAGCCATGAGAAAAGTTTGGACTTTATTCTAAGGACCGTGGGAATTTCTTGAATGGTCTTGAGCAGATTGTGACACGAGTCTGAAAGTTCACCCTGCCTCCGGGGTAGAGAGTGGGCGGGGAGGTGGGGGGCAAGAAAAGAGAAGGCACCACCAGGCAGGTGGATGTCACAGTAACCTAGGGGAGTGGGGGTGATGGTGTGGACTGCGGTGATGGCAGTGGGTGAAAGGAAAGTGATACACAAGGTAGGGTCAGATGGACATGGGCACTGATTGGACAAAGGTGGCGCAGGGGGGAAGAACCAAAGGATAGTCCCAGATTTGGGCCTTGAATGCCATTTGTCAAGACAGAAAATAGTAGAGGGAGGAGCAGGTTTGCTAAGTAGGATAATGAATTTAACGTTGCACTTGTTAGTTGTGAGACCTCTACAGGACATTCGTGTGGAAATACCCAGTAGGCAGTTTGCAAAATGGGTTTAAAGCTAAAGACTTTAGAGAGATTACAGCTGCATATATGGATATGTAGATTTCTGATCGCTACCCAAGGATATTCATACTAAGTGGACTGGAAGCCAGATCGCTTGTCCCTTAGAACAGTGCAAAAAACAGCTAAGTAGTCAGCCAAAGTCTTGTTCTTTTCTGTCTTCCTGTAAACACTCTGCCTTCATGTGTAATGTTCTTTGTTCAGACTCATTACAGTACTGCTTCTTACAGTCAGCTTAGCTTTATATGTAGCAGCTAGGTGTGTTGTCCTTAGGTGTGTTGATGTTGATATAGATACTTTTCTAGTTACCTCTATGGACTTAGCTTTAATGTATCTTCCAGCCACCCAGTTACCAGCTCTTCCTTAAAGTGGGATGTCGTGCAGGAGTTTGGGATTGCAAATGTTATGTTTTTATTTTTCCTTACTTCAGCCTCATTACAATCTTACCTTGAGGTCTCGTGGAGACCTTAACATCACTCATTATTAGCAGAATTAGGAGATGGGGCCTGATGAGTAGTGAGACTTAGAGGTAAGTGGGATTGTAGGCTTACTTCTGGAACAACAAATGTGGAAAATTTGGCAGGACTTTAAGAAATGAATAAAAGATTACTAAGCAATAGAAAGGATAAATATTTATTTGACAGAGAGAGACAGCGAGAGAGAGGGAACACAAGCAGGGGGAGTGGGAGAGGGAGAAGCAGGCTTCCCGCGGAGCAGGGAGCCCGACTCAGGGCCTGATCCCAGGAGCCTGGGATCGTGACCTGAGCCGAAGGCAGACGCTTCACGACTGAGCCACCCAGGTGCCCCAAAAAGGACCCATTTTTAATTTGAACCCATGGATTTGTGATAGGTGGCTTCTAATAGTTTTTGGCCTTTCTGTGGCAAATCATTATAGCCTACAAGACTACAAACGGACGATGGATAGAGAGATCCCAGATTTGATCCAGGTTGGAACACACAACAGAAAGTTAATGTCCATATATTTCAGTAAGCTTACAATGAATCCTGTTTGTGGATGCAAGGTCTAGTGTGCCTAAGAAGTGATTAGTGAATCAAGTGAAAGTGTTTGCTCCAATTAGACTAATAATTCAGAGAGTGAGTCCTTTGGCTCTGTTTCCATATAGCTGTTGGGAGTAAAGAGTACTAACTCTGGAGAGCCCAGGGGGGTTTGAGAGGTTGTCAAACAGGTGTGCTTTTAAAATACTGTATTATACAAGTAAATCGTGTTTATTTGAGAGAAACAGAAAGTACACGTAGGCATAAAAAATAAAAACATCACTCATCATCCCATTACCTAGAGAGAATCACTGACATTTGTTGTAGTTCTTTCCATACCTGTTTTTAACTAAAAGTGGATAATACCATGTGTGCATTTTCATAACTTGCTCATTTTACTTAATAGACTAGAAGCTTCATAGATTATGGATTTTCATGTTAGTAATTCGATTTCTATACTTTCGTTATACTGTTTTTAATGACGCTGTCCATCATTAAGATGGGTATGCCGTCTTGATTTAATCAATTCTGTTTAAGAGATTTGAGGTTTTTAAGGTAATTGGAGGAAACGAATTAAAAAGATGGAAAACAAGGTAGGCTCTGAAGTTATCTAAAAAGTTGAATACAGGGGCCCTGGGTGGCTCAGTCGTTAAGCATCTGCCTTCGGCTCAGGTCATGGTCCCAGGGTCCTGGGATCGAGCCCCACATCGGGCTCCCTGCTCCCTGGGAAGCCTGCTTCTCCCTCTCCCCCTCCCCCTGCTTGTGTTCCCTCTCTCGCTGTCTCTCTCTCTGTCAAATAAATAAATAAAATCTTTAAAAAAAATAAAATAAAAAGCTGAATAGAAAACTGATCCCTCCTGACTGCACAGTCTAGTCTCTTGAGGAAGCAAGGAAATTCTGGCTTTCAGAGAAGGAGGGCAGCAGGGGCTGTCAATTTCCCAAAGACAGAGAGAAGAAATAAGGACTATGATATGGGTGAAGAGGTGTTCTCTGCTTGTGTACAAAGGGGTCCGGAGCGGAGAACAGGAGGGATGTTATTTTCCCTCGTTGTGCAGGGATGCACGAAGCATCAAGGTGTGAAGTGCCGTGTTTTATGTGTCAAAGCACGCTCTGGAGGGAACCAGACTGCAGTTTGAAATCCTAGCTCTCTAGCTGTAGAACTCTGGGCAAGTTCCTTAATTTCCCCATCAGTAATGTAGAGATGATAACAGCTGCCTCATACGGGCTGCCGCTGTGAGGATCACTAGAATTCATAGATGGAAAGTGGTTAGAACGGGACCAGGCACACAGGAAGCCTCCATACACCATAGCTATTATTTATGCAGAGTAGAGCAAGGACGCCGGTCAGGGAGCCTTTACCTGAGGCGAGAACAGCCTCTTGCAGCAGGAGTTACGGTAAAGGTACAAGGTGCATACCCTGAGAACTGACGAAGGAATCAGTCAGTGCAAGCATATGGCCCCGGAAACGTGTACGCAGGTGCTCACCCGAGCATTCCGTATGAAGTGGCGAACGGACGTACATGTTCAAAAGCCATCTTGTTTCCTGCTGTGGCCCAGGTGGAAAAGCAGCAGACAGCGTGGAACCATGTCGTGGTCCAAAGAAAAGTTAGGAACCCTAAAAATGAAGCCTTTATTTCCTCCCTCGGTGCCTTTAGAATTATGGAATTTTGTTTCCTTTTTGACTCATCGGCCCCATGCTTCTCAGCCAGGGCCAGGAGCCGCCTCCCAACCCTCCCCACACCCATGGATGTTTGGGAGTGGTGTGGGGACAGTTTGGGTTGTCAGAATCTCTTGGGGGCAGTTAGTAGGCTGGCACTAGGAGCGCCATGTGCTCTTCAGATGTGCCAGCTGCTCCCACAGAATGAAGAAATTGTCTGCAGAAATGCCCACAGCTCTCCCACTGGGAGTCTCTGCAGCGTGGGAGTCCTGGTGGCGGGTGAGCCATCCGGCATTTTCCAAGTCCAACACCAAGAAGTATGCCGCACGCTAATTACGTGCAGGTAGACACCAAGAGACTTCTTTGCTCCACGGGACATTTCTAGCAGTCTTTCTTTTGTTTGGAATTCAGAAATGGCTAACGGACGAACTTTGCCTAAATTTAAGAGGCAGAGATAGGGGCCGCGGTCTTAGCCGCCTTGAGCACAGGGAACTGACTGGAACGGTTCTTCACGTAGGATGTGAAGGATCACTACTGTAGATGCCTTTTTTTTTTTTTTTAACCATGCCCAGATGGCAGGTTGTATGTAAGTTTTACTCCTATCTGCTCTTACTTGTTAATTCCCAACTTTGGGAGACTCTTTGAATATGACATGCTGTAAGGGAGAGGAGTGCTAATCTCCTGGTTAAATATGCGTGAGCATGTAATTACCGCCTAGTATGTTAATCATTTTTTTGTGTCTGTGTTCATCTCAGGAGAGAAACCCTTTATCTGTGAAATCTGTGGCAAAAGCTTCACCAGCCGCCCCAACATGAAGAGGCACCGCAGAACTCACACAGGCGAGAAGCCCTATCCGTGTGACGTGTGTGGCCAGCGATTCCGCTTCTCCAACATGCTTAAGGCCCACAAGGAGAAGTGCTTTCGGGTGACCAGCCCCGTGAATGTGCCGCCTGCTGTCCAGATCCCACTCACAACTTCCCCAGCCACCCCAGTTCCTTCTGTGGTGAACACACCCACGACCCCCACCCCCCCGATCAGTATGAATCCTGTGAGCACTCTCCCCCCCCGGCCCATCCCCCACCCCTTCTCACACCTCCACATCCACCCACACCCTCACCACCCCCACCACCTCCCGATCCCTCCGGTCCCTCACCTCCCCCCACCTCCAGCTCTCTTTAAGAGCGAGCCTTTAAATCATAGAGGCCCGGGTGAGGACAACTTCCTGCGGCACCTGGCCGAGAAGAACAGTTCAGCACAGCATCATTAACATCCATCTCCTTAAGTGTGTTCTCCACGAGTTGTGTGCCCGTGTGTGAGTTTGCAGAGAGGGAGTTGGTGAGCATTTCTGTCGCTGTCAGACGCTCCTCAGCCTCCACCAAGAGCTTTGTCATTGTCTTGGTGAATCAACACATCCAAGGGAATGAACGCGAAGACCACCTTGAGCTCACGGAGGGAACTGTCATCTAAACCAGGGGAACCACCGAACTAAAGCCCAATTTGCTTGCATTTTCTGGTGACTTTTATAAATTTCAAATACTCAGACTTGTGGAATTTTATAATTTCATATCAGCTGATGAGGTATGCTTGCTTTTATATCCCGGACTTCTCCTCAAAGAGGGGACAGGCCTGGTTTCCTTTGTACTAATCGGGAAGGCTGTGAGATTAATCCAGAGCATTAATTGTATCACTGTGTATCGTAACAAATTCTTTTCAGCTTTTGGTGCTGGCTTCAGAATGGGGCCGGCCGTGTTTCCCAGTATACCCAGCATTATAGAGAAAGACGGGAAGTTTCTTCTTTGTGTAGCTCTCCTAACGCACTCTTTATTTTACTACAGAAATTATTTTAGAGTTTTTGTATGGACTTCTTTAGTGGTCTGTTTCTAAAATGAAATGTATTTCAATAAGCGGTGTAATTTTTTCAGTGTAGCTGGGCCTATGTTGTAAAATAGAAAAAAAAATTTTTATAATCATCAAAATGTGATTCTTAAAGATGCATATAACTTCTATAGTTCAAAGTTATTCTTACATCCGTACAACTCAAAGGTGCTTCAGAGACTAGCTGTATCTGAGAGGGTCTGCAGACACCAGGTTACTGCACGGTGAGGTTTTGCTTGCAGAGCTTGACGTAAGTCCTTGCTGGCTGTGCAGATCTCTGCATCACCCTCAAGTGTCCGTGCGTTAGGCTTGTTGACATGCTCCTGTCCTCCGCGTTTCACTTGTGGGGTCATCGCATTAAATGGAACGATTGGCAAGGAGCTGGATCTTTCCCAGGGAAGTCACCTAAAGCTTGCGGGTTTTAAAACTCTGAGTCAAGCTGTTCACCGTCAGGAGGAGGAAGCGGGGGGGGGGGTGTCCTCAGTCATGTCTGTCTCTCGCTGTCCCCAGAGCTTGCCCGTGTTCCACCTGTGGCGACGACAAATGGAAGTCTTATGATACACTGCTCGTTTTGAGGTTGCTGTGTTTTTCTAGAATCGTTGTGACAAGATAAAATAGTACACTAAAATCACAAACATGATGTTGCTGACAGTAGCTGAGAAGTTGGCATGAGAACAAATTGACTGTGAGTTTTCAAATGTCTCTTCATCCACGGGTATATCCACAACTTTGAGCTATTCTATCACAGTCTAAATTGTAGCGAGGGAAAGAAAACTCCTACATTTTGCTGCCCCGTTCGCTGCAGGTAATTATGTGACGCAGTGTTGACAGGTGGTGAGAGCAGCGTCTCTAACACCTTTAAGACAGGTCACTTTTCCAGGTTTGTGAAGCTTCGAGAGAGCACGATCAATCAGGAGCTTATATAGGAAAGGCTGAAGAGAAGGGCTAACCTATTGCTCGTATTTAACTGATCGGATTTCTCCAGACTCAGTATAGCTAAAAATTGTGTTGTTGTTTTTTTCCTCCGTCTCAGAGAACTGAGTTCCAAAGCTAGGTCTGCTTTCTTTCTCTCTCTCCCTCTGTGTTTTAATCTGTACATTTCTTCATTTTTCTTTCTTCAGGCTCTTAGATCGTTGCCTGAATCAGAACCCTGGCTTTTATTTATTTTTAATTTTTAATATTAAATGTGCAGATATGCTTCAAGCACTTTTCTGGCTGATTAGCTCTGTGGTAGGAAAAAATGGAACTCTCAAGTGAGGTCAAGTCCCTGTTTTGTAAATACCACGTTCTCTACTAGCTTTTTGGTTTAAAATTTCCACACTTTTTCCTTTTGATTATTGCCTTTTTCCTCTTCTATGATGAGCATAGGAAAATTTTGGAATGAGGCAGAAAAGTAGCCCAAGACCTACTTTTCTTCCTGTTTGTGGATGTAATTTCTAAAGAATGTTATTTTAAATCTTTGTATACGGTTTTTGGACACCCGGGTACCCAAACCGATGAGGAAAGTTAGTTTCTTGTTTGTGACCATTATTTCTTTAGTGGCTGCCTCCTCGTACTCCACAATCTCCTTCCCATTCCATGAAAAGTTTGTGGATGGATCTACACCTTCATGTAGACGTATCATTACTTAATGGCCAAGCCTATAATATTAAGATGGTTTTTTTAAAGATGTAAATTGCAACTTAATTAATTGGTTATAGTACCTTATTTTATTCTACATAAATTTACCATATTGGGCAGCAATTCTGAATTCCAGACTTGAGACCATTAAATCAACCATTTTATGAAGTGTACTATAATTATACACTGGAAAATTCAGGTAGTCATATTTGATTTTTTTCATCCAAGTGAATATAGCCATAAGAAAATGCCTACTACATAGGAAAACCAGTATTAAGCAAATAATCACCACCACCCTTAACAGAAGCAAAAAAAGGATTTTTTTTTTTTTTTAGATCAGCATTGTCACATAATACATTTCACAGTGAAATGTATTGTGGAACAATCTGGAAACCTCTAATTTTTTTTTTTCCCTAGATAAGTATTGCCTTCCCTGACTTGGGATTTGTGGTCTTCAGGAACACTGCTCAGAACGTAATGACTCCTTATCAGTGTCATATCACATATAAATGATGAAATGCATTAAGAATATTTGCAACATTCATGCTTCTAAATACAAGAACTGCAGGATTAAGCCTTAAACATATATGTGCATCAGGTTTAATGTGCTTAAGACTCAAACTCAGGGTTGGAAATTTGATTGGGGTCCTTCACTAGGATGAAAGTTGCATTCTGTGGTGTGTTCCCTCCGACATGTGACTTCAGAACTTCATGCCTGCTTGCTATCTGTTTATGAAAAAAGGAACCATGGAGGAGTTTGAGTTCTCAGCCCTTCTCTGTCCTTCGTCTTTTAAAGACAAACAGAGGCCACGTTTCAGCGTTATATAGATATCCAATTGAGGCTTTTTCTCATTACTTAATTTTACTGTCCTCAAAGGCTTGTATCATTGGTAGGGTTAAGGCATACTCGAGGAAAATTCCCCAAGGACTTTCTTGAGCTGACATTGCTTTTTTTTTTTTTCTTTTTCTATGCTTTTCTCGTAGATTTATCATTCAAATATGAACTCTTCCTTAGCCTTAACGAAAGGCTGCTTGCTGCTTTCTCAAATTGAGTCAGGTAGGCTCATACTGAGTTAGACTTTTTAATTTGAATGAAGAAAATAAGATGAAAAGTTTAAAGGCATGTGGCTTCATTTCCGTGTATATTTGTGATTTGATTCTTATTTTTTAGCAAGCCGGGAGTCTCCACATAAGACTTTATGGAAGTTCAAAGAAATCTTTTGCAAGTCAGTTATGTATACTTTCAGTCTACCATTTACATGAATTGTTCTAAATTGATGACTGAGCATGACCTTACCGTGGTTGTACCATCTTTTTTAAAAACTACATTTGTTTGGAAGTACCTTTTCATTGTGGTTAGAGGCTCCCTATAATTTGATTGTCCCTAGAATACTAACTGAAGGCAAAATATGCTAAAGAAACGCTTGTCAACTGTATTTTCTAGTTCTTGAAATTGTTTTCAGTTCTTCTGTTTGTCGAATGGATATGTGTGTTTTATTTTTATGTCACTGGAAGTTTTAAATTTTGAGAAGATCAGGCAGAAATAGAAATCCATTGCCGATGGTATTTATTTTCCCCATCTTGCAGATTTCAGTCAGTGAAACAGAATGGTAGGTAGGGTTTTATTGTAAAAAGAAGAGGAAGAAGAAGGAAGAAAACAGAAATTAGGGGAAACCGTTCTGTTTGAGCTACTGTCTAGAAGAGACAACTTGTATGACGTTGCCGATCCACGTGACCAACATTTTGGTGCTGTTCTAGACGGTACGGGAAGTATTTTAATGAAAAGGGGGATAAGTTACATTCAAGAATTTTATCAACTATTCTACCGCGACAAAAACCGGCTCGCTTGGAATTCTTCAGACAATAACATTGAGCCAACAAATACTGGGTTTTAATTTCTCTTTGCCTAAACCAAGATAGGAAATTTCCCAAGAGATCATTTCTTTTCAGGAATGAAAGGTCATTAGCCACAAGAGACAGTGGCGTTTTTATGCAATAAGAACAACTGAACTACCCTGCTCCTGTCATCTGTAGCATTTTTACTAAATAACGATGGCCTTCCAGCCCTGGACGCTACCTCGACAAAGCAAACCAGAGATCCTCTCCACACTTTCTATGGAAGCCATACAAGTTGCCATCAATATGTCCACTTTCATAGTTCTATACTTTTATACTCTCTAGACTTTTTATAGACTCTATGATCAGATCTTTTTGTCTTAGAGGATAGGTTTTGCAAGATTCAAAGGAAAAGCAAACTCCTTGGTTGTCCCAACTTTGAAGCCTTAGCTTCAGTAAATTTGTTTAAAGGACCAGATAATGTACCATTTAATCCAATTCTTGATTTAAGTCACAGCTATTTTGCAGAGTGGCATATCCAGAAAACAGACTTCTCTTTCTTATTCCCTAAGTAGAAGCTATATTTGTTGTAAGAAACTACTTATAAAGTGGATTTCTACTACCTTGTTACTCTATGTATTCCTTGATAATATATGTATTGTCACAGCGTTCCTGGAGTTGTGTTTATTTCCTTGTGACAGATACGTGAGTCCACACTTCCCCGTGATCCCCCCCGGACCCCCTCCCCCGCCCCGTTAGCTCACTGCAGCTCAGTCTTTCACTCTGTTCTTGAGTGCCTTCAAAAAGCCAGCATCCTGGAACATTCTTTCCCTGGTCTGAATCCTACCTCTGATTATTTCATTCTCCTGAGTATTGGAAGTCACCCTTATTCCCCATTGGTTTGGCGCTACAAACTAGGCCCTTGGATACGAATTCTGGACCTATTCCTGTTCTGTTTACCCATGTCACTTTCAGATTACATTTTACACTTTTGCTTTGATCTTATTTCTTGACCTCTTCCATCGCTAATGATGAAAGATTTTATCCTTACTCCTTGTTTTTTCTTCACCAGAAATGAGATGTTCCTTTAAAATTAAAGGTCACTGAGCACCTCTTTGGAACATCTTCTCCTGGTGGGTCTCCCTGAATGCCTCCCCTTTCTGATGAAGGGATCCCGAATCCTGCTGTTGCTGGCCCTGCTCTTGCGTGCCCTCTCTCTTCCAGAAACATTCCGGAAGATTGTACCCATAATTCTAGTAGAGTCAGATGAATTTGAAATCGCTCTCTGGGTTGATCAGAAGTCCTTTATTGGTTGTTGATCTGCCTCTCTCATCCGCCTGTCCCTCAGAGACTTCCAGTTACCTTCTTTTCTACTTGTTCTCATCTCATTAATTTTTAGAGTGTGGTTGATACATGTTATATGAAGGATGTAATAAGGGGGTTGCAGTGTGTGTTCTCCATGTGATAGGAGCACCTTCTTGATAAACCATTGTAGCAGTCAGCTAATCTTTCACAGTCAGAACTGACGTGTGTGTGTGTGTCGTTGTGCAGGTCCCTTGTTCCTGTTCGGATCTCCTCCAAAACTGAAAACAAATAGAACTCTTTGAAATGAGGAAATTGGGTTGCATTTTCTTTTCTTTAAGTGAATGAAAGCTAAGTTGAGTATTTTGGTCTTAGTCAAAAATTGTTCCTTTCTGACCTAAAATGCCATGTCCCTTCTTCTTAAAGTTAATAATACTAAGTCTCAGGTTTTCAAGACTAATAACCACACAAAGTGGGGGTCTGTGAAGGCAGCTGTTAATAAATTCCTAACCTTTTTTGCCTGGTGACAATATGTTAACTGGTGAGACAGTGCAAAATGGGGACAATTGGTTATGTTTGATAAGGAATAAATTCAAGACATCTGAAGGCCTCTCCGGCTATTTGGAATTGAAAGACCAGTTTCCAGAATGCAAAAAAGTAGACTACAGAAATAAGTAACAAGAGTTTCATGTTTTAAATCCTTTCCACCTTAATTTGCCTTGATGGTCCCCGTTACTGACCTCGAAGTTTGCCTCTTTTCTTGTAACTGGCTACCTAAAGTAACCACTTTGAAATGTGTGGCTTCTCTCTGAAGTCAGAAGCAGTACAACAGGTTGGGGAGAGGCATGGCGGCCTCACACTTGGAGGAGCCACATCCCTGAGACAGACTGTTCTTGTTCCATGTCTTCTAGGATAGGGCACGCTTGGTGTAAGTATCAAAGGGCCCTGAGAAGTATCTCCTCCACTTTCTAGTTCCAGGTTCCTTTCACACTGTTTGAGCTTCTCCGGTGAGATCAGGGATGTTACAGATTACTTGAAAACAATTTTGGGGACACGTAGGAAATGGGAATGGGGCAAGAAGGGGCAGAAGCTGAATTTTGCTTCACTTCAGAAGGAAATGTAATACTCACATTTGCTGGTTTTGATCAGCCAGAGAGCCTCTCTCTGACTCGGATGTGCCAAAGAATCAAGTTGTTTCTGAATATCCAGCTCCCCTGAGCGAACCCAGCTTCCTCCCGGCCTGTCTTTCACAGGTGAACAGGGACTGTGTGGTCAGAAGGGCAGAGACAGAGACGTCGCATCACATCCTGCAGAGGACTCAAGGCTGCGTTTAATTGCATTTGAAAGTTGGTGGGAAATATTTTATTCTTTTAGAATCTCTAACACTCCTGGAAATATCCTTTCTGTGTTTGATGATGCAACTCATTAGGTTTTTCCAAAAGGGAAAAAGAAAGAGACTATGTGGCGTGGTTTAGGTGTTTACTTCTAAAGTTGTATCCCAAAGGATAGATCTGCAGCCTCTGAAAGTCGGATGAATCCCTCAATCTTCCCATCAGTTTCAGTACGCATTTTACTCATTTCTTGCCAAGAGCTGTGTGTCTCTTCCATCCGCAGTACTGGCTGTGTCCACAAGAGAGCAACAAAGGCCTTTAGCTTCTTTATTCTCAAACTTTGGAAGATCCCGCTTTTAAGTCTCTTACAGAATATCCTCTCTTGGCTCCGTGCTTGTTTATAGATCTTTGTTTTTAAGACATTTTCCCTTATTGCTAAGTCCAGTAGTTGCTCAACCTTCAGGATGCAAAGACTGATGAGTGGGTCACAGGTCCTCATGGGTCAGGCATCTTAATTAGCCGCTTTAAACAACAGTGGCCCAAGATGGAAAGCTTAGGATCCTTCCTTGGGGGCTCGGTTGTGCAGAGCAGCAGGAAGGCAGCCCTCCTTACTTCTTTCTCACACACCCCACCAGCAGCACAGGATGATCACATCTCAGAGAGGGACAAGCAGCAGGCCTGGCTCTGGAGTAGGAGAGAGGAAATGCTTCTCCTCTCTGCTCCAGGGCAGGTCTGGCATGCCAGGGAGCAAGTCCTGGGGGCGGGGGGGGGGGGTGGGGGGGAGGGTGTCAGACCCTGCATCCTGACCCTTGGGAGGTCCCCAGCAGCAGCCGCTTCTCCAGGTTGGAATTCAGTCTGTGTTCCCTCTCTGTCCGGGACTTGTCCTGCGGCTCCTGACCCTCATCAGGGCTCTGACCTCGAGTTTGTTGTACTCACTGCGACATCTTCCTCACAGTGAGCTGGTTGGTCATAACTGAGGGCAAACGATCGTCACTGTTTACCCCATTGAGGCAGGAGTGGCCTTCTTACCAGATCTCTGCCTGGCTCCTTCCCCCCCACCCCCACCCCAGCCCCGGCCAAGTCTGACCCACTCCCACACTTGACAAAAAGCGAAACGGAAGCTGTGATTGGTTGAGGTAACAGGTGGCCAGGTGTAACTTGTTGGTTTTTATTTTTGTTTTCCCCAACAATACTGCAATCACTTGCACTTTTCCTCATTTCTTAAAGAAAATCCAGTTTGCTTGCCAGGAATTGTTTAGCGTTAGGTTTACAAAGCTTGTTGTTGAATGTTGAACATTTGTCCAAAGGAGTTTGACAAAACAGAAGCTGCTTGGTCCCTGTTCCGCCTGCTAGGTCCCAAGGATTCAGGCCATGCGGCTGGGGTACTTGTGTCAAGTCCAGAAGGGGGCAGTGTCCCTCTCCTACCTCTGCGAAGACGCAATTGAAGGTCAAGTTGGACTCGTGTAGGGCAGGTACCTCTCTTGCTGCAAAGAAGTGTAGAGGAGTCTTTCAGTTGGGGAGGTGACAGGTAGTAAGACAGGATCTCTTCAGATGGGGAAGATACTGGGGAGAGGAGAGCTCATGGCCCCAGGGAGCTGTGGCGAGGCAGAACCACGCTCCCCCCTGCATCTCCCAGCTAGCCTAGCTTCCCTGAGTCATCTCTTTTCCAGCATCCTGTCAGATCCCTCAACGTACTGATTTCCCCCCTTGTGTTAACTATACCAATATTATTTTTTTAGCAATTGAAATGCACTTTTTTATTTCAACTCAATCATGATTTTAAGTATAAAAAATTTATAGACTTTTAAAACTACTTTTTTGTGTATTTTTAACCACTCGATGTAGCATTGTCTATTTTATTCTTGTGAGACTCTGGTACAAGGCGTGCCACTTCATGATATTTCCGACATGCTGGGCCTTTGGATGTGTATGGTAACAAACTTAATGCTAATGTTCAAAGTAAAAAGAAAAAAAAAAAAGTAGCCATATCTGTTGTGTGTCTTTCTTAACTTCCTTTCTTCCTCACCCTCTTGTCAGCAACATTTTGAGGTGTCCTTGCTCAGTGAATTGTCCTTGTTTTCTGTGAGATGAACAGTCCTGATCTGCTGTCATCTGTGGCCTTTAGTCGTGCCCAGCTCACAAACGCAACGGGCCTCCTTCTGAAGGATGACACGTTTTGAGGGCTGCTGGCCAGAGTTAACGTGATGAGTTCTCATCTGCTGGGGCCGCCTGCCTCGGGATGATGGGTTTCAGTAACGCCCTACTGGCCACAGCTGAGCGAAGATCTGAACATATCCTTGAAAACAGTATTTGAGAAAAGGATCCCAACTGAGATCTGAAGCAGTCTGAAGAACCGGAAGCCCGGATGGAAGCAGCTTACTGGAGTATCTTCAGCAAAAAGCAAGGATCATAAAATACGGCACGTGGGCCGAGGGTCCTCTTGCTACGCCCACCCCCGTTCACCCCCTCACTCGTCTGTTTAGCCCACGAATGTTCATTGAGTGCCTCGTTATGTGCTGGGCACTAATCTAGCCACTGGGAATTCACGCGGTGAACAAGACCATGGAGCTTCTGTCCTGAGTGGTGGAGACTCAACAGTAATAATGATCTGATACGTTGTGAGGTGGTGAGGTGCTGGGTGAGGCTTGCCCTCAGAGCTATGACCATAGCCAAGTGCGAGACCAACTGTTTTCTGTCACAAGCCTTCCCAACTTGGGATCCACCCTCTTTTGTTCCGGCTAAGGATTCCAGCGAGGGAGTAAAGGATGTGGGAAAGAAATCTTACTACTCAAGTGCCCTTTGTTTGAATCCTCTTAGAATGGAACAAAACTGTCCAAATCATAGAATTACCACTCTTGCTCTTTGTCATCTTGTAACTCGGGCTAGTGAGGTTCACACACTTTTTTTCCATGGATATAGAGTAGATACTCCCCCCACCTCAATATATACTAAATCAGTGGCTTTCAAACTTTGACTGTGACCCTTGGTAAGAAATGTATCTTCTCAGTACTCAGCTAATCCAAGATGCAGATCTATAAGCTTATTTATAGAAGTGGATTAAAAATTCAAGGTAAATATCTTTCCTAAGTCCTACCTGTAGTTTGAAGAATCCTGTTCTAAAGCAGTGTATATGTGTATTATCTTATTCCAACAGCAGCCTGAATTCACTTTCATATAGAATCTGTTGTTGTATCTGGAACACCCAACATCTTAAGTCTTACAGGTTTCTATTTCTGACTAGGTCCCAACTCTGAAGCTCCCTACAGATTAGCCCATTGCTCATTCCAGCACCCTGCAATGGAGACCATTCAAATCGCAGGCACATTGCAGTCCTTGCTCGTGGGGCCTGTGACTCACTGCCAGTACCAGGGTCACTAGGACCACAGTTGACCCTTGAACAGCATGGGGGCTATGGGTGCTGACCCCCTGTGCAGTCACAAATCCGTGTATAACTTTGGACTCTTCCCCCACCCCCAACCCACCAAACTTAACTATTACTAGCCTTCTGTGGACTGGAAGGCTTACCAATAACAGTCAATTCACACATATTTTAGATATGCATTTTTACTGGATTCTTACAATAAAGTAAGCTAGAGAAAAAGTGTTAAGAAAATCATAAGGAAGAGAAAATACATTTACAGTACTGTGCTCTTTCCCCGAAATCCACATTATGAGTGAGTGGACCTGCGCAATTCAAACCCATGTGGGTCAAGGGTCAACTGTACTTTGTCACGATTCAAACATGAACTCCCTTTCAAGGCCTCCATTGTACATGGAATTAACGATGACCCTGGTTGAGTCTCATGCCCTAGTGTCCCCACCCTGTTGTAGTGTGTCCCTGGCCTGCCTTCCAGTAAGCTCCCATTTAGTGTGTGGCCATTCTCCACTCTCCTGAATCTGGGCTTGTCTCGTGGCTGCTTTGACCAGTAGAATAGCAAAAATGGGGTACCAGTTCTGGAGCCTATGCTTCAAGCTGTCTTGTAGCTTCTGCCTTTATTTTCTTGGAACATGACTGCCCAGTGAGACCAGAAGCCCAGGCTAGACCACTGAATGATGCCTGTGTGGAGAGAGAGGTCCCAGCCGTCCCTGCCAAGGCTCCAGACACGTGGGTGAGGACATCGCAGACCCTTCAGCTCAGCTGACCCTCAATTGAATTCATGCTTAGGAGCCCAGGTGAGACCAGCAGAACAACTGCCCAGCCAACCCAAAGAATCACCAGAAGTAAATTGTTATTGCAGTTAGCCACTAAGATTTGAGGTGGCTTGTTACACAGCAGTGGATAACTTGGAACAGCCCTTGGATTTCGGTCGAGCAGTTACCAAGAGCTTATAAGTTTGCATAGGTCCTTATGCAAGAAGCTTAACCTTTTCTGGCCATATCTAAATAATGGCTATCGCTCATTTGTTTTGAGGTTCCTGCTCCATTTCCAGTCCGTACATATGTCTACTAACGGTCTGCAAACTGGAAAGGAAGGAGGATTTCCTCAAGTCCGTAGCTGATTTCCAGAGTTCCCTCTCCAGCCAGGCCTCTGGCCTGCTCTTCTGTGTTCCCAGCCTTATTCCTGAACTTCCTGAGTTAGGGAATGCCTGGCTTTAGACCCCTGATTGGTACATCTCAGCCTCGGCCCCGGCCCTGAAAGCATAGTGACACCCTATTTAGCTTCAACGTCCTGCAATGACTTTGATCCTTCCGGAGGTGTTATTGAGGGAGACCCTGTAGTAAAAGAGGAACACGGGCTTGTTCACAGGCAAATCTGGGCTCAATCTTTTCTCTCCCACACAGTAATCTGTCTACCTATAAGCAAGCTGTTTAACCACTCTGAGCCTGTTTCCACATCTGCTAACAGAGGATATTAATAGCAGCTCCCTTAAGGTCATGGTGAGGATTAAATAAAGCAATGCGGGTAAAATGCTCAGCTCAGTGTTTGGCAGGTCGTGCCTGTGACAGGCAGCTCCAAGATGGCCCCAGTGATCCCCACCTCCTGGTGTTCATGCCCTTGTCTGGTCCTCTTCCCTTTGGTTGGGCGGGATTCAGTGACTTGCTTCTACGGAATAGAATATAACCAAACGGAGAGATGTCACTTCCAAGATTAGTTACAGAAAGATTGGGTGTGGCCTCTCTCTTTCCAATCACTGGCTGCTCTGTCATGAAAACACAGGCCGCCTATGGAGGACGTGGCCAGGAACAGAAGCTTGCTAGCAACCATGTGAGTGAACTTGGAAGTGGTCTTCTGAGGCCTGCCAACAGCCACATGAGTGAGCTTGGAAGTGGGCTCGCCAGCCACCGCCGTCTTGAGGTGACTGTAGCTTGATGACCTAATGAGAGACCTGAGCCAGAGATGCTCACCTGAGTTCAGATTCATGACCAACAGAAACTATGTGATGATGAGTTGCTGCTCTTCGCTACTAAGTTTGGGAGTAATTTATTAAGCAGCAATAGACAATGCGAAGTACAAATATTAGCTCTTCGGAGATACAGAAGACAGTAATTATAGTGGATGCTGTGGGGCACCACCCAGATTCCCCCCCTTTCAGAAACAGTTCAACTCTGGGTCCAACTTGACCCCTGTCCAAGCCTACTTCACTGAAGACTCTCCAGGTTTTGATTCTCAGCACTCAAGTCCCTTCCCAAGGAGCCTGATCTGACAGAGCTGGTGCCAGGATTGATTTGGGGAAGCAGAGTCTAAGCTGGGATTTGGGACCCTTGCTGGGCAGCTGGTGCTAAAGACTCCGTCACTAGTGGTAAGTGGAACGGGCATGCTTTCCTGCTGGAGTGGTGCTGTTGGTCGAATTTTCACTCGTGGCGAGCTGGGAGAAAGGATGCACTTGGTGTGGGGAGAGGGCAATACCACAGGCTTTTGGGAGGCTGGGGGGAGCACCCATTCTAAGGACAGTAGAATCGGAAGGCTATTGGTGAGTGCCGCTGACGTAGCAGGGAAAGATAATGAATGGCTGAGGTATTTAGTCACCGATGAAAGGCAAATGGGAAAGTCATGGGACCTTGGCTTGTTTAAATCCACTGCGTTGGGGCGCCTGGGTGGCTCAGAGGGTTAAGTGTCTGCCTTAGGCTCAGGTCATGATCTCAGGGTCCTGGGATCAAGCCCTGCATCAGGCTCCCTGCTCAGCGTGGAGTCTGCTTCTCCCTCTCCCTCTGCCTTTCCCCCTCCTCATGCTCTCTCTCTCTCTCTGTCTCAAATGAATAAATAAAAAAATTCTTTAAAAAAAATAAATCCACTGCGTTGTGATATTTGTTACACAGCAATAAAAAGTAAAACAGATGTGGGTACTTGGAAGCAGAGTGCCATGACAAATACATAAAAATATGGGAATGGCTCTGGAATCAGGCAGTGGAGGCTGCAGGAATTATGGGGAGCATTCTAGACTTCTAGAAAAAGCCTAGATCGCTCTGAACAGACCGTTAGTAGAAATATGTATGTTTGTTTGTTTTTTTTTTTTTTAAGATTTTATTTATTTGAGAGAAAGAATGAGAGAGAGAGCTCATGAGAGGGAGTAGGGTCAGAGGGAGAAGCAGACTCCCTGCCGAGCAGGGAGCCCGATGCGGGACTCGATCCTGGGACTCCAGGATCATGACCTGAGCCGAAGGCAGTCGCTTAACCGACTGAGCCACCCAGGTGCCCTGTTTGGTTTTTTTTTTAAGATTTTTTATTTATTTGAGAGAGAGTGCGTACGAGAGAGAGAGCGTGTGCAAGCACAAGCAGGGGGAGCAGCAGTGGGAGAGGGAGAAGGAGGCTTCCCACGGAGCAGGGAGCCCGATGCAGGGCTGGATCCCAGGACCCTGGGACCATGACCTGAGCCGAGGGTAGACGCTTAACGACTGAGCCACCCCGGAGCCCCTAGAAATATGTATGTTAAAGACACTGCCGGTCAGAAGAACATGAGGAAAAGTCCGACCCTGAACAGCCTCAGAGAGAGGCTCAATCTCCACCAACAGACCATTGGTGGAAACCTGGACTCTTTTTTTT